GGAAAAAAAAATCTGAAATTTTAAAATCATAAGTCCAGAATGCATTTTATTATAGTCAATTAGCATGCTCTGTAGTTTTTTGAATTTAAATAAATAGGCTTGTATATGTCATAACACTTGAATTATTTTAACAAATACATCAAATTGCTGATGATCGTTAAAGTTGGTTATAATTTATGTTTGGATATATTTTTTAAAAATATATTTTTATTGACTTCAGAGAGGGAGAGGGAGAGAGAGATCGAAACATCAGTGATGAGAGAGGATCATTGATTGGCTGCTTCCTGCATGCCCCACACTGAAGATCGAACCGGTCATGTGCCCTAACTGGGAAGCAAACCGTGACCTCCTGGTTCATAGGTCGATGCTCAACCACTGAGCTGGGCTGTATGGGTATTTTAATGATAAAAAGTTAAAATACTCATTGACAGAAGTTTTCATTTATTGAAGACTTTACAAACTAGAGCTTTGGAACTAGGCTAGGCCTTGAGGATAATTTATCTAAGTCCTCTTTGTTAAAGGAAACTGAGGCACTAAGATGTTAGAAGGATGTTAGTAGCTTAAACAGGTACTGATTAAGTGGAGCCGAGACTCCTGACTTCCAGTCCTGTGTTGTTCAGATCCTTATGCCAGGAGTAAGGTTCACTGCTGGAAAATGAGAAATGATTGCCATTACATAAAGCAGATGTGGGAAAAGCCAAATTATGTTCTTGGGACCAAAGAATTAAATGTTCAGTTGTATGAAGTTCTCTGTTTTGGGGTTGGGGGATGGTGATGGAGAAGAGAGGGAGATGGTTCATTTTAGGTTTCTTGATTCTTAAAAGCTAGCCAGTTCTAGCTTCTAAATTATTTGACTGCTCAGATGATTAACATAGAGACCTCAAATGCAAGAAAATTAGCGTTAGTATACTTTACTTATAAATGTCCTTTAAGAATAATACAAAAATTCTCAGGTATTACCATGTTTTTTAAAGCTGGAAAATTGATTTGTGATAATTATGATTCTCAGAGAGAATACAAGTAATTATGAGTTAAAGGGAAACATCTATGAACTTTTATTTTCTACTCAAACTGGCATTTTCTCATTATAAGAGGTGTTGTGGTCTATAATTGATAACTTGACTGTTTCATATTCAGGAAGAGTAAACAAGAGTCAGATTCAAAGTAGTTCAAAATGTCACAGCAGTGAATCTGACATTTCTCTCTTGGTTGTAATATTGCATTCATTCTAGTATCTCCTTCAATACCTTGTGTTTGGATGTAGGAAAATAATATTGCTTGGTGGGTCAACACTATTTGCAAGTTGTAAGCACTCTTGCTTGTGAGATACTTCAGTGAATAGCCTTAGGCAAAAACAAAGAGTTTTCGCTTATGTGATATTTAAAAATCTATGAATAGTTTGTATACAAGCTATTGACATTTAAAACTGAGAATTTAAAAATAATTAATTTATTTTAACATTATAATAATAAACCTAATACTTATTAACATACTATTTTAATGAAAATAACTATATTTTCCAAAACAAAAATATCTCTGGAGAAGAGTGCCATTTTTCACAGTTTTGCAAATATATTTCAGTATGTCATTTTCATTAACGTATATAAAGAAAATTTCCATCATATAGGTATGTACTTAAAAGGAAATTTTAAAACTTTTTCAGATAATTCTTCTTTGATACTACACCAAAAATCAGCAATTGGTAGAAGATTAGTTGCAAAATGAAATAGAAAATTCCACTGCAGTGGCCTTCGTCACAGCAAAATCCTGCATGAGCCAAAACTCTAAAGGAGGGGGACCATCTTTGTTTGGTGGAACTGTGGGCAAAGCCTCTTTGCCTTTTTTAAAAATCCTCACCTGAGGATTTTTTTTTCATTGCTATTTAGAGAGTGGAAGGGATGGGAGAGACAGAAAGAGAGAAACATTGATGTGAGAAAGACACATCCGATTGGTTGCCCTCCTGCACATGCTCCAACCTGGGCGGGGATCGAGCCTGCTGGGAGATGCGTGCCCCTGACCAGAATTGAACCCGGGACCCTTCAGTCTGTAGGCCAACACTCAATTCACTGAGCCAAATCGGCCTCTTTGCCCTTTTTTATTTCTCTGTTCTCCTGCCCCTCCAAACATGTAAAGAAGAAATGCCACCAACTTAACAGTCTCTTCCAGAGAATGGAAGAAAAGAGAATTTCTCAGCTTACTATACATGGTCAGCATTACTCTGATACCAAAATTAGACAGAGACAGCACAAAATGAGAAACTACAAACTGATATCTGTGAACATTGATACAGATATCCTCAACAAAACATTAGCAAGTTTAATTCAGCAGTATATACAAACAATACACCATGATCATGTCGAGGGTTAGTCCTTGAATGCAAGGCTAGGTCAATATTTGAAAGTAAGTCAGTGTAATCCACCATAATAACAGTCTAAAGAGAAAAACCACATGATTATACCAATAGATAACAACAGCAGCAACAAAAAGCCCACACACATTTGACAAAACACAACATCCACTCATAAAATCTCTTGGAAAATTAGAAATAGAAGGGAAATTCCCTAACCTGTTAAAGGTTACCTATAAAAATTTTACAGTGACTATCATACTTAATGATGGAGACTGAATGCTTTCTAAGATTAGGAGCAAGGTAAGATGTCCACTCTCAACACTCATATTCAACATTATACTGGAGTCTTAGCCAGTGCAGTATGGCAAAAAAAGAAAAGGCATAGAGATTGGTAAGGAAGAAATAAAACTGACTCTGTTTACAGATAACATGATTGTCAATGTAGAAAAACCCAAGGAATCTACCCAGAAAACTAACCAACAAAAACCCCATGATTTATGTGAATTTATCAAGCTTTCAGAATATAGGGTCAACACAGACAAATCAATCTCATTTCTATAACTTGCATTGTACAATTAGAAACCCAAATGTGAAAGCCAGTACCATTACAATAACTCAGAAAAACTAAATACTCAGGTATAAATCTATCAAAGCTTGTATAGGCTTTGTATGCTGAAAACTACAAAATTGCTGAAATGTAATTTATTTGGTGTATAAATCATTTTGTTCAGTTGTCACCAAGATTTCTCTGCCTATACTCAGATTTCCTTGGAGGACAGATTCCAGAGTAGCAATCATATTTTCATGCATCTAACTTCATCTATGTTGTATGAAATAGATGTGACAGTAGACTTTTATATATACATAGAAAATCTTCAATTTTATCTATCTAATTTGAAGAACATAAAAATAATTTCAAGTTTTGGTTGTTTTTCCAACATAAAGGATCAGTCGTATTCATCATGTGATTTGGAATTGAATTTCATATTTCATGTTCACATTCATCTTTGTCAGTGGCTGCTTAGGAGCTGTTATAAACACGTGAAGTCCTGTTGTGCCTGTCAGCTGTGTGAATTTTTTTCCTTTTAATTTCAGTTTGGAAGCCACAAATGAAACATATTTTCTAAAAAGTATAATTTAATATTGTCTCTCTTTATATCAGCCTTCTATTGTTTTCTGATTTTTAGTTTTCCTTATTTAAGCTTTGTGGTTTGTGGGCCTGTTCATTGCCAAAAGGTGTTTGTTTATGCTGCTGGTGTATATATGTTAAGTATTTAATGAAAAAGGGCTTACAGAATTAACGCCTGGAATTCACATGAGTGTATTTAGTGTTGTGTATCAGCAGGGGATTTGATTTATTATAACCTGTTCCCTCTGAGTCCAGAGCTGACATTAGTTTTATGCTTAAGTATTCACACACACAGACTTTAAATGTGATCCCCTGTGGGCTGTGACTGGGCTGAACACTCGGGGCCTGGTAAGAAAAAGAAGCACTTCATTTAGATTCAACGAGCTAATCATCTTCATAACAAAGATTGATAAGAAAAGACCTAGTGCACGAGCTATTAGGACCAGTCATCCAGGGATTGCCTCGCCATAGAGAATACAAAGCAGTTTAGAAAGGTTGGTTATTCTACTCAATACCTGACTGTAATGACCTTTGCAAAGAAATTTCAGATGTGCTGATTATTTAGGATGGATCGTCTTCTAGAAAACCAGGATCAAATTCAGACTGAACTTGACCATTGGAAGAAAAATTGCCTTTAAAGCAGAGTAAACTTAAAGATGAATTTAGATATTATTCTTAGATATAGAACAACAATAAAAACATATGAAGAAAGAATTAACTAGATGGAAGTATTATCTCTCATCTTTCTCATCCAGTAGCTAAGACTTCAGAAATACGGAAACCACCTGGGCATTCATCACTTAATAGCTAGAGAAATGCTCTCCTTCCACCCTTTCCTGCCTTTCTGCACACGGGCAGCCAGTCCAGACCATGCCCTTCCCTGGTTTATATTCTGGTGGTTCTGTCTGTGGCGGCCTTACCCTCATAGTGCCTACACCACCAGTTTTCCCATTTAACTGGCCTAACAATACCTGCTTTTGCTTAGATTCCCCAAAAGCATCCTGCTATGACTGTACCAATTCAGCTCTCTCCTTCGTAATCTAACCTCCAGTGCCTGATTTCCAATTATTGCTAGCAACAATGGTGAAGGAAAGATTCCTCAGAATCCTAGTGACCACAAACTGAACAGCAATTTTATTATTTTTGGGGAGCAAGAGAGGGCAATAAAAACGAATCCCAATCTGTCATTTAAGATCTAACATGGAATCTTATCTTTACATGTTACATTAAAACAATTATATAACAGCAAGCCCATCCTGTGTGCCAGGAACAGTTCTAAATGCTATGCATGCTGAACTCATTTTAACTTTCACAATAATCCTAAGAGGTAGGTACTGTGGATAATGAAGCCACGTTTACAGATGAAGTTCCTAAGAGGTTAAGTCGGTTGCCCAGGGTGACACTGCTCATAGAAGAATATTTTTGAGATTTTCTACTTAATACCGTGAGATTGCTGTGCACCTCAGGAAGGGGGAGGGTATAAGTTCTACTGATGGATGAAATGTCCTTTTCTTTGTGTAGTATGAACCCAGAGGACCTGGCCGGCCCTTGTACCAAAGAAGAATCTCCTCTAGCTCAGTCCAACCTTGTTCTGAAGAAGGAAGCACTCCTCAAGATAGCCTTGCTCGGTGTAAAGAGCTTCAGGACCACAATAACCAATCCTCTTTCAACTTATTATCCCCGGAGTCCTGGGTAAACACCACCTCATCTACCCCCTATCAGAACATTCCGTGCAATGGATCCAGCCGGGCAGCCCAGCCCAGAGAATTGATAGGTAAGACAGAGTTGGCGGGCTGCTAAAACTGTGGTTGTTTATGGAGTTTTCTTCTTCCATCTCCCCCGTTTGCATTATTAACTTTGAACAATATTTAGTGGTCATAGCTCATAGGTAGCCTCAGGCATACATTAATTGAGAACCATATTGATTCCATATTTATGGTCTGGAAGGTAAGTGGATCAATATTTATGGGGAACTGATCATTTTGACCTGTGAACAAATGAAAGAGGTAATAAAACTTAAAATGTATTTCTAAATACTAGATAGACTCACCTTTGCTTGGGAAATGTTTGTTTTCTGTTGTTGTTTTTGGAGAGGGTTTCTTCAGAGTGGGGGATGGTAGAATTGGTTAGGTCAATAACAGTTTTTAAGGATTTATTCTCAATAAAGTTTGAGACATGGTAGTTTGGCCATGAGAGAAATCAGTAAAGTCTAACATTTTGAGATTTAGAAATCCTTTGTTTATTTCTTGTATTCTAATGAACTGAGAAATCCAAGGCTAAAGAGTTAAAAACAAAAGCATAGAAAGGCATTGGAATGGGTAAGGCTCTAAACTTGTAATGTATGGTGGGATGTCTACAGTCTTCCTCTTTAGCCTTGAACATGAATGTGCTTTTATCTTTCTTTCCTTCCTTCTTTGTGTGTGTATTTTGCATGTAAAGAAATGAATGCTGCTATTTGCATTCTGTAATCTATAGCCTGTTTGTAGGCTGTCGACATCGATCTTTGGGAACAAGTCTGTGATCTTTGGTGAATTTCTGCTTGGTAGCAACCTTTGTATTTGAAATTAATTTTGTTCATCTTTAGAATGTGAACCCATTGTTTCTGTAACTGACCCATTTTTGAGTGTGTGCCATGCAAGCATATTTTTAGAACTATAGACATGGTAGGACAAAAAGCAGTAAGAAGATTTTGGTTTTGTTTCCTGGCAAGACATTGTTATTTTAATCTTTAAACATTCATTAGTACCTACCATGTGTAAGCTGTATTTTGCCTGGGGTTGCCTTTTCATTTTAAAGGTCTAACGTAAATACACTCCTATGGTAACATTTGAATTTCCTGAGAAACATCTAAATTACAAACCAGTGATGGAAATTTGTTACTTTTTCCTTGATTTGTTTATAATAATTTATTTTAAAGACAACATCATTTCAATCTTTTTTCCACTTAAATTTTAGGATAGCTGTTGGCCAAAATCAATAAAAATTTAACGTGAGCTGATAAGGTAGAAAGTTCCTGAACAAATGCCCAAAGTGCATGTCATTCCTGGTATCTTTTACACAAATATAAAACTATTTTCTTCATTGCTAGGAGACAAATTGTACTGTTCTTTAGTTGAAAGTAACAGTTAAGTATGTAAAAATTAATTCAAAATCACTACTTGGCACAACTTGTCTATCAGCAGGTATGTATGTAGATACGTACGTATTTATTTTCAGAGGAAGGTAGCAGTTGCCAGTGGTGAATCAATAGCAAAATAGTTTCTCCACAGTTATAAGCCCAAGAGCAGAGACCATATCTGTGACCTTTTTGAATTGGATTTTCCACTTTGGCACTGATCACATTTCAGGCTCTTTCAGTGTCAGCTGATAAGGGGATAATGAAAATAGATCCTGTGCAGTGAGGGGCTGACCCGGGCCGCAGGGCCATTACGCTGGGCACGGTGGTTCCCGGCAGGGGAGGGCCCTCTCTACACGATGTGTTTGGTTCTATTCACTTACCTTGGTGATGAGACATACTTTATCAGACATTTAAAGGATCGTTTCTCTATCTGGAGTTAAATATGTAAGTTAACAGAAGTTTTGAATTCAGTTAGATATAACAGCATAGACATTAGGTTAAACAGCCTCTAAAATATTATTTTATAGGTATTTATTATTATAAACTGATTATATTGTCATGAAAATGAGAACATGGTTAAAAATAAATCTTAGTAAATAAAAACAGTAAGTTCTTTAACAGCCAATTAAATGTTTGCTTTATGTACTGTGGTAGGCAGTACTGTCACTGTTATATTGAAATGTTGGACAGATGCTCTTAAAAGCAGTTGTTTCACTTACAAAGTCAGTGACATTTAGATGGAAAAGACACAAATGTTCTAGAAGGATGTTAAGTAGTTTAAAATAATTTTGAACAATTTTATGAATTTTTAAAGTACACTATGAAATTAGCATATTGAGTCAATGAATTATTAAGACTAAAAAATGAAATATTTTCACCTTAACCTCCCAATCCACAAATAAACATGCGGGAAATGTCCATAAACACCAGTAATCACAGGTATGCAAATCAGAGCTACCACAAGATTATTTATTTATACAATAGGTTAAGGTTAAAAAAGTAATAACACCAATGTGGTGGTTGAATAGGGAGATGTGTAAACATTGTTGGTTGAGTATCTTCTTGCAGGGAAGTTTGACCATAGTTATGAAAACCTTTCATTGTGTGTATACCATATGACCCAGCCATTATACTTCTAGGGATTTATCCTAAGGAAATAGTTGTGAATATGAATAAATGTTTATTTCCAATAACATTTATCACAGTGTATGGCAGTGAAATAATGCTTATAATCCAAATTTCTAAAAATGAGAGGTTACTTAAAATTTATCTACATTATATATTGCCCTTAGGAAAAAAATACACCAACAAATTAAGGCTTATCCTCTGGTATTTGGGAATATGAATGACTGACTTTCTTCTTTGGCCTTTTGTGTAATTTCCAAGTTACCTTCAGTGAACATGTATATGATTATATACCAATATAATATTAGTTAAAATCTTAAAAGATTGAAAACCAGAGCAGTGTTTGGAAACAAGGTATGGTTTAGTGGGCAATAAAATTAGGAGGAGTCAAGTCAAATTTTAAAGGACCTTGAAAGTCAGGCAGATTATAGGAAACGTGAACTGAAGTTTATAGCGGTTTCTCTTTATGCCATATTTACTTACGTATTGCAAGAAAAGGTAGCGTTTGTAAGCAATGGAATTCAGTGCTACTATTACTTAGGTTACTAATCAAGGCTATTTTGACCAGAAGTCTACCTATACAGCTTATTTTTATTTAAGAAAGAACATGTTTGTTTCCATTTTCAAACCATGAGCAGTTAAAATAATAAATTTCAAATGTCCACTTGTACATATTAGAGTTTTGAAAGCAAACCTTCAGACTTGACCTTTAGTTTTTATATGCCAGCTATTCCAGTTCATGTAGTGAACTCTCGTTGAGTGTTAATAAGAGAGAGAAGTTTGGTTAGGTGTATTATGATTTTGACATTCTGTGGCAGAGTTGCCTGTCCTCCTGGCTGCCCTGTCCTGAGTTCCTGGAGATGAGAACCAGTTGTGACATGCGTTAATGAGATGTATGAGGATCACCAGGCTCGACCTTAATCCGTGTCACTGTTTCCTGCTTTTAGCTCCTCCCAAGACCATCAAACCCCCTGAGGATCAACTGAAGTCTGAAAACCTCGAGGTGTCCAGTTCCTTCAACTATAATGTGCTGCAGCATCTCGGCCAGTTCCCTCCCCTCATGCCCAACAAGCAGATTGCAGAGTCGGCTAACAGCAGCGGCCAGCAGACCTCGGGGGGCAGCAAGCCCGCCATGTCCTACGCTAGCGCTCTGCGGGCGCCCCCCAAGCCCAGGCCCCCGCCTGAGCAGGCCAAGAAGAGTAGCGACCCTCTGTCTCTGTTCCAGGAACTCAGCCTGGGGAGCTCCGCAGGCAGCAACGGCTTTTACTCCTATTTTAAATAATCACTTTGTTTTTGCCTCAAGGGAGAATGTTTTAATTTCTGTTTCTATCAATAGAATTAAGATAGTTGGACTTCATCTATAGATGCACAGTTCCCTTTGTTTTAATATTAAATATGTTCTCACTTAATTGCTTCGCTGCTAGACTTGCAACTAATTTTTTAAAAGTATATTCCATTATTTTGCATTTTTGACGAGTCAGAATTTTGACAGCTTTTATGTAGAATAAAAATATTTTTAAATTTGTGTATTGTTACATATGTTTGCATCGAGCTAGCAGCTAAGAGGTTAATTGTGCAACTATAAAAAAAAAGAGAAAAAGTTTGTCTAAAATGTATTTAAAAAGAAAAAAAAAGTTGTAAGTAGCATTTACATTTATTCAATAATATTACCATATGCTGGGTTTCTGTACCAGAAATGGCCAGTTATGTACAAAATGTATGTTATTTTTGCTTAAATTCATTTAAAATTTTTTAAAATAAAGGGCAGCATCTTATAAATACTTTAAGTTTTATCAGCTTTTTTTTGGTGACAAGATGCTGCATTCTAAAACTTTTATAGTTTTAGACCACGTATGGTGTGCTGATGTCATCTCCATCCACTGCAGGATAGAGTCAGAGGCATTCTTTGCAGGTGTATCTGTATGCCACTGTTTTTTGTAACGTGAAAAAACATGGGCATACTTAGTTATTTTTTTGAACAAGCTACACTTCAAGCTTGTTTTTAACGTTAATTTGATAGTGTGTTTTTTTTAAACAGATCATGAAGCTGAAAATTTTTAGGATTGTTGGTGCTTAGTAGACTTGATAACTATTTTAAAAATGCGTGGATTTAGTAAAATCTTTTTTTCCTCACTATGCATGTGTAAACGTTTGTAATCTGGCTCCCCGTCGCCCCTGCCCACTCCAGTGGTATAAAAAATTGTGCCGCTTTAAGGTTATTCCCCCTCCCATAAAAATTTTGGTACCTTATTTAATGTTTACATAACAATGTGACATTATACATGGCAATTCAAATACTTTACTAACTGTTTGGTTTGAGGAACATCATTAAAGAAGAAACGTGTGTTTGTCAAAGATGCATCAAAATTCGTCAAAATCTGAGGCAAAAAGCTACCCTTGTTTTTCATGTCTTTTGATTCTTCTAAAATAACCCCACTGAACTTGTACAAAAATATAAATTTTAAATAGCAATCTTAAATATTTTACAGTCTAAACGCTGTTTTGAATGAACTTCTGTAAAAATCCAAAGGGAAAACATTTATCCTCTTGAAACTTGTGGTTTCGTAACCCTTTTGGAGCGCTGCATGTCCTTGTTGTTTTCCTGATCTAGTACCACCACTTATACTTGAGCAGTAGTTTGAAACTACAATATAACTTTTTAAAAACTAAGAGGAGGTTGGGAACATTGCAAATGAACCAGTGGGTCCTGATGATCCATCGGAGGCCTAGGCCATCCTGTACTCGCAGTAGGCTTTTAAAACAGGGTTGGGAAGTGGCAAGGGTAAAGAACACTTACATCTCTGATGGTGGGCAGCCACAGCCCCCTGTGATCCCCCGACAGCTTAGGAGGAGAGAGTGCCTTTATCCGAAGGTTCTCAGGCCGCAGGGCAGATGCAGAGTGATTCCCGCTGAGCTGTCTTTCTGCTCATCTGTGGCTGTGGGGTCTGGCGGTCTGGGTGTGCAGAGTGCAGACGTGCGAATAGTTAGTATAAATCACAGCAAGTCACAGCACCACGTTTTCTCCGTGTGACGTCAGGTCTCCATGTGTAGCTATGCCAGATGTTACCCAGCATCCTTCAGTCACCAGGAAAGAAGAAAAAAATTTGCCATCTAGCTATGTATTTCCAGCTCCGTGACAAAACTGAAGACATAGCCCAAATGAAAACTAGGTCTCCCTGACGTGAGGATGCCTGTGAAAATCATTTTCTCGTCAATGATGGTCCCCCCTCCCCCAAATCTACAGACTGTAACACATGCCAGATAAATGTTCAGAAGCATCTGGATAATATGAAGACAGAACTGTCATGTCAGGTTGACCCCTTGTCATGAAATACTAGCCTCATTTTCTGGTTTCCATACTTGAACCTTTAAAAATTATCCGTTTTAAAATTATTTATATTTATATTTACTTAAAGAAGCCATGTGCACGCCCCGCCACCTTATATAAATATATTGATGATGGGAGCTTTGGATAAGGGAGCTGTTAAGTTGTGACACTCCTCTTCTAAGTGGTTATTTCTAAAACAAAACTGAAAATAGCCACTTACTAGTCCCTTGCTCTGCCGTGAGTGTCAGTCTCTTCTGCAGCCATCGGGTCGGATGCTGTTTCCGTCTGGTCCTCTTTGAGAGTCTGGCTTTGATTGTGTTTCCACCCCCAGCAAGTTTACTTTCTCAGCAATAGCTAATACCATCCTTCCAGTTGGTCATTAAACCTGTTGTCTATGCATAATCTCTTGAATGGTTCTGAGCAAGTCTTACTGCAGGAATCATTACAAGTTTCCATGGAAACAAGGCTTGGCTTCTGAGGACCAGTCATGCTGTTTTGGTGTTGTTCGGGTAATATTAGCAAGTACCCACAAATAAGACTTTTAAACAATTTAAAGACTAGCTTCAACCCTAGCGTTAAGAAAACTTTGTGTTAGCTTTTGAATAGCACCCAGTATTACCAACTTCCTTTTCTTCTAGAACAGATTTCTTCTAAGTGAGGTTCATTGTTTACTTCTTTGTCCTTTGTTTCATGAGGAAGCTTCCTCTTTCTTGCCAGAATATTTTTTTTATTCGTTTCACTTTTTAATTTCTTCAGCTACTAAGATTTTTTCCCCCTTAAAGAAATTCTTTTGGGTGATAGAATTTGTAAAAAATTCATGCTGAAAATGTTTTCCTGGTCTGAAAATTAATTTTTTATTAAGATTTGAAGAGCCTCATTCAGTGGAACATGGATATTTTCTGGTGTGTTTTTAAAGGGGGTTTTGATTGTCATTTTGGCATATGCCTTGCCAACTTGTTATAGCAGAACTTTGTTTTTGATTCATCGGTAGTTAATTATTGACCATTTAAACTAACATGACCTTAATTTTTCTTTCCTTAGGCAGATGTGCTTTCTATCTAGGCCGTTTTGTATGTATGAAATTACAAACTGCTTTGTGGGGTTTTTTCATCAGAGAGTCTAGAATAAGTTCAGGTTTGGTATAAACATCAATTGGTCTTTTCAGTTCAAAGAGTTGGAGAATAAGTAAAATAAGCAGAATTCCCACTGAATAAGCATTACCTAATTAAACATAGCAATCTCCAAGACCAATTTGTGAAAATAGCTTCCTTGTTTATGGAGGCATTGAAATTGCTGAGAAAGCTAACTGAATTTTCTAACTTGGAGGTAATATGTAGTAGTATTTTGCTCTAGTGTAGTTGATTTTACATGTTTAATATTGTTCGTATATATACATCTCAAGAGCAAAGCTATAAACATATAAGAATGTATCTCTATGTACCTTGGCTAGAGAGAGCCATCTTGCCTAAGAGCCAGGGTGAAAAACAGTTTCAAGATAAATTTTAGATTTCAACTACTGTTATTAAGAAAATTAGATTTACTGGAAAAGCCATTTAAAAAGAGACACCTGTTATACTTATGGTAGATAGCATTTTTTTCTATTGGAGTTGTTTTTAAAAAGGGAATTCCAGAAAGAGTCTAAACTTTAAATATATTAAAAGATACAAATTGCTGCCTTAAAATGTTATTTAGGCTACCATTTTTTTTTCTCTTCTAGCTCCAGAAAGGTAGCAATTTGCCTTTTGTGATTCACCAGACATTATTCCTTGCTAACCATCCCCTTAGCTTATGAAAACCCTTCATTTCTAACACCTCCCTGTGTGTCTTCCTAAGTCTCAAGTAGATGTTCTCATGGTTCTGATTTTTCTTTCCTCTTTTTGCCATCTGATCCACAAATGACCTAGCAGATAGAAATAATGGATAATGTCTTAACCATGATTTCTTGTCCAAATGGTCACTTCAGCTATGTCCATCGCGTGGTGTAAAGATATCAAGAGTAAGTGGCATGTTAGTCTTCAACGTGCTCATTATATTGGGCTTCTCACATTCTCCATCTACTTGAGGTTGGATATCTATTTGCTGAGATTTTACTGTGAAGCTGCTACATTCACACTTACTACTTTCATGCCTGTTTAATTAGCCATTTCAAGACCATTGTTACAAGAAATGAATGTTACTAACCTTGAACGTTCTTATAAAACACATGCAGAAAATGTCATTGTTATTGCTTTAAACAAGAATATCAGATTAAACAGATTGACAATAAATTTTTAATGTAACATTTACAATTTTTGAAATGATTGAAAAATATCTACTTTGGAATAAACTTGAAGGAAACAGTCACAGGAGTTTCTAAATGTTTTTTGAGGGGAATTACCTAACAGAAGAATCTAGACTTAGTAGTGTGAGCTGTTGTGGTTAAATCCTAAGCCCAATTATGCAATAGTAGCTTAAAGCTTCTAAAACAGGAATGTTAAGGAAAGAAACCCGGAGACCTTCAGATACCTGTAGTTTCAGTAATCTGAGTATTAGATTACTGGACTTTATTTGCAAGTTGTTCAGCAGATTTTATTTTGATACAAATATTAAGCATAATCAAGTAAGTTTTATATAATTCTATGGGTTCATTAATCGATACTATGGCATTTTCGTTGTGTTCTTGGGGAGTTGTTTTAGCTATTTCTACACCTCTTATGTGAGGTCTCTTTTGTGTTTGATTTTGCATTATAGCATGTGACGGCCTACCTTAGGATTATGTGGATGAGGAGAAATCAGTATTACTTTTAAAAAATCTATTTTTTTGAAATAAGTTTTTTCATTAATACTTTTTTTGATCTTTGAGAAAGTAAGGGGTGGCAAATTATAAAGGTTTCCACGCAGAGCGGAAGCCACTCAGAAATGTGTTTAAAAGTCTGTCCTGTTTGAAGATTCGAGAATGTCAAGCAGGATGGAGCAGTGGTTTCAAACGTAAGGCAGCAGCAGCAGTGCCTGGAGGAGGCTTATTAAAATACAGGTTGCCGGGCTCCGCCCTGAGTTTCTGCTTCCCGGCTGGAGCCCCATCATTTCCAACATGTTTCCAGGTGATGGAAACAGGTCCAGGGACCACCCTTTGAGAACCACTGGTCTAGAGAAAGTCTGACAGTCTTTTCAACCATGCATTTATTTACTCTGTATAAAAACAGAGCTCTCAAGGCATTTTTATAATTCGGATGCCGTGAGTGGAACATCCGTGAAGAACGCTCTGAGGGAGGAGCCCTTTGGGCTGCCTGGCACCCCGACCCCTTGCCGGCCTCCTCTGAGGTCAGTGCCCCTCCTCCTCATGAGGGTGCAGAAGCTCATGTCTAGGGTGGGTCTGAATTGGTGTTCACTGCAGCCTGGGCTTTGGTCTGGAAACTGCATTTGTTTGACGTGCATAGAGTCTGTCTCGGTAACCCGTGCCGTTGGAGATGAGACTTGTGGAAGGAAGCCATCAGAATGTCACCAGGAGGCACTTGGCACGAGGCACAGGAGGCCCTGTCCTAAGATGCCAGTGACATAGAAAACCATAGATAATCCCTAAATAATGTATTTGTAGTTTTTATTATTTGGGGTGTCGGGGGGAGGGCAAGGGATTTCTTTTCAAATTATGTATTTCTCAGGTTAACAGAATTATTTTGGATTCTCTGCCTTGTCAGCAGGTATTAGGGGAGGCTGCAGTAATATATAGACATATATATGGCAGAAAACTGATAATTGTCTGATTGCTTTGTTACCTTAAAAACACCTATATATGTTTGCAAAATAGTATAGGGGAATCTACCACCTCCACAGCATGAGTTATTCAGAAACCATAGGTGCATATGGATGAGCAAGTTATTTTTTGAGAAGGAAACTATGAGATAATAAACCTGACAAGGCTTTGGATATTTTAAATTTTGTGTTAATGTCGTTACTATTCTTCTCTGGACTGTAGCTTGAGGGGTATTGGGCTCTGCCTCCGGTTTTTAGTTTGGCTTTGAATTTACTGAGATGCTAGAAAGAGAAAAGA